GGTGAAATTTATGTGTCTCAATACGATGATGTTTCGAAACATGTCGTGTACAAAAACCTTTAAAATGAATACGTGTTAATAATTTTCATATGAAATATCATAGCTAAGTAAGAGTGTACTGTACGAATCAAATTATAACTTATAACGTTAAATAAAAAAGAATTTTGACTACAATATGTGGGATAAATAGTGATAATTTACCAGGTTATTAAATCTGTTGTCTCAAATATTATAAAATAAAAGTGTACCTTGTGTATCAAACTTAAGAGAGACTTATCTGTATATAGTTTCTTATGATGTAAACAGGTAGTTAGGTATTCTCCAGACTAACAGAAGTGGATGCAGATGACTATGGAAGGAGAAGTCTTCGATATCAGCCAAAAGAACGATTGTAATGTCAGGAACACTGTCTTAAGGTCTGCATAGGTCCATACAAAATGAAAGTGGGTGAAACATACAATAATTACTGCATATGCCATGTGGTAATTACTGAGTACCAGGTGGTAGTTACTGAGTACCATGTGGTAGTTACTGAGTACTATGTGGTAGTTACTGAGTACCATGTGGTAGTTACTCTATAAATAAAAAAAAATAGTTCTCAGGACAGATACTCAATAAAAAAAAACAACTTACGGTCTGAAAATCAGCTTTACATAAATATATTCAAACCATATGCCGATCCAAACCAGTAATTAAATACTCAAATAAACGAAATAAGAAATGGAAATAACTGAAATAGAATTTAGTTAGATAGGGCTATATAAAATGGCGGATAAACTTACGGTGATCATTCCAAGAAGAAACCAAACAAGGTTTTCAAATCTCCAAAGCGGATACCCATGCAATGGAAATCGAAAAGTGGATTCAGAGTGCTTTTCACTGGAAAATTTGTCGGACGCCGAAACACGCGTCTTCTTCAGATCCAAATTCCCAGAAAGAAAGACCTTCATCTCCGTTTCAAAACCAAAGCCAAAAAACCCTTTTCACCACAGAAAAAATGAGAGAGAATAAAGTGATATCATATGATTGAAATCATTAGAACAGAAAATCGCAATCCACAGCGAAGTGAGATTGGGACAAGTGAAATGCAATTAAGGAAGTTTGGCATATAGCGAATAGGTGGCGCTAATAAACAAGACAAGTGAACTGTAAAAAATGAAGTTTGACATCTAGCGAATAGATGCGCTAATAAAAATTAAATATCGAGAGAAGTGAGCTGTAACAAATGGAGTCTGGTATCTTTGGCATCTAGCAAATAGATGGCGCCAATACTAAGAAATTTAAATAAAAATACAATTTTAAATTCAATTTTATTAAAGGAAATAAAAAATGCTACACTATTATTAATTTAAGGTTGCTATTAAACTTGGATCAAGTCAAATTTAATAAAATTGCGTTTATCTCATCAAGGAGGCCGAAATCGATAAAATATGAAGAGACAACTTTTAATCGGCATTACGCTTCGTCCTAGGTGGGAGACAAAAGCGAGCGGGCGACGCGTGCGACAACAGAGGGCGATGAGCGCGACTCGCGCGACATATTTCAATCGCATCTGATGCCGCTACAGTCGCGCGCATCTCCTACCTATGACAGCTTCGGAAGAAAACATTATTTGATAAATACGTGTCGCTCGCCCGCCCGAATCGCGCGCTTTGGTGTCCCACGTAGGACGAAGCATTACTCTGCTTACACTATTTCGCTAAGAAGATAAAAAAAGTCAGTGGCGTACATGCTTTTTTTTTAGAAAAATATTCCAGTGAGAACCCGTATGCCCGTCGCTGGTGAATATGCGGACACTTTTTTAGCTTTAAAATATGTGGCATTTATAGTAACTTTTACCACCAAAATTTTATTCGAAACACTAAAAGTAAGTAAAGTTGGAAGAATACTATAGTAAAACACTCTGTAGCTACGATACAAAGCAGAGTCGATATATATGATATGAGTATGTGATATGAAAAATTAATGTTATTTTTACGTGAGGAATCTCCCTACGAGAGATGACACGTGTTTTTTGAAACATCCTGTATACTACATTCCGAGTTTCAGCCCCCTAGCCCAAATAGGGCCCGAGTTATGACGCTCCAAAGACCCATCACAACTTCCTCACTAGCTTACCACTTTTTCGATTGTTACCACTTTTCGTCACCATTACGTAATACGTCATGTGTTAATACAACGTGAGTCACGGCCTTGAATTTTTACTCTCAGTGTGCGTTTCACTTCAAAAATTCCCTAATCAGTCTATGTTAAAATAAGTACGGAACCTTGGGATATTAATTTCACGAACTGTTAAAACTTTCAATTTATAGTTATTAACGTAATAAGGCCGATAAACAACAAATAACGGCCGGGCTGAAGTTTGTGATCCGAGGCGATAGCCGAGGATCATAAGCAGCCAAGGCCGTTATTTGTTATCGGCCGTGTTGCGTTCTAGATTTTTCGTCATACTGCAGATTTTTTAGAGCAATAAACACTACTATTTAATAACAAATTTTATTGAACAATAACACAAGTAAGGATAAAAAATACATAATGTCTTATACTAAAATTCATTTTTCATGATAATGAACATGGAAATTAAAAAGTGCACTGTTGTTTTTAGAGAAATCTGTAATCCTTCCCAGGGATTTACAGATTTTATAGAAGAAGATGATGCTACTGAAGAATGGCAAATATTTGTATCCACTAAAGACACATTATTTTTGGAGCTATCATGAAAAAGTTGATTTGTTATTTTCATTCCTTTGGAAACTGATTTTCTATGTAAGTTTCTGCCACTGTTGAAGACTCCCATCCTCCTAGCTCCTTTAGCGATAGTAAATCACCACCATTTTCGGCGAGCATGGTTGCTGATGATCTACGAAATGAATGCCCTGTATAACGTTCTGATTCTCCAAGTTCAAAAATTTTGCAATTTTCTGCGGTACGCTCCCTGATGGTATGTATACCGACGATTTGCTTAACACACTTGCCTTTCTTGTAACCAATGAAAAATTTTGGATTGTCAAAGTTACGAGGACGCAGGTTGATGTATTTTTGTATAAACCATAGGCATCAAACGGAAGGCCTGTTTTGGAATAAGAAATTTCCTATCTTTCTTATTTTTAGTATTTCTTAATGAGACAAGAATATTTTTCTCCGAATCTTCGAAATCATCAACTGTGAGTGACCAAAGCTCGCTGCGCCTACAAGCTCCAAGAATACCAAGCACCAATACAATTTTTTCGAGTAACCAGGTGTAATCATCGGCATCCAGTAGAAAATTATTTATGTCATTCTCCGACAGAACTTTGGCTTTTTTTGGTGAATAACCTTCGTTTTTTGCGCCTCAGAAACATGAACAGTTTACCAAATCTATGAACAAATATAATTTAGATGAGTATGATTAAATATCGAAGAATATAATGGCTTTTACCTTGATATGTCGATGTTTCATATACTCTCAACGCAAGCTTCAGCATGGATATCTTTGTCCACAGTGATGTAGGAGAATACATTTCAGACATTCTTTTAGCATAAGCCAGCAATACCGCTTCATTTACGCTGTTTATACTTCTATCCTGCCGCCACTTCTAAAAAATTGTCATATTCCTGCTGATATCTCTCTCTGGTTATAGTCGGAAGTAAATTTTGAGTAGCCGCAGCCGCTTCCTCCTGTATTTCCAACGGAATTTCTCGCGACATCTCGCTATGGTCTATTTTCCCAATTTTTGAAAAGTCCAACTGACAATAAATAGTCATTGTTGCAGGTGACAGACGTTACGATTACCTTAGAAACTTAACGGCCGCCGGCCGTTATGATAACGTCCGGCGGACGTTATATGCATCTTTTCCATTCTGATTTTGCTTATGTTATAATAATATAACAATATAGTATGACGAAAAATACATTAACAGGGATTAAATATATTGAATAGAACATTAATAGTCTATTTGCGACTTAAAATAGATCATTTTTAGTTTACTTAAATAATTTAGGGAAGGTTGTATTTATTCTTAGTAAAGTAAATATGAAGTGTTTTTTCTTAAAACATGAAATGTTATCAGCAAAATAAAACACTAATTCACCACAAAATACACCAAAACACTTTATTTTTTCACTGAAATGCGCGTCCCGTGAAAAAGTAAAGTGTTTTGGTGTATTGTGTTAAATTAGTGTTGTATTTTGCTGTTGTGTAAGCTACGTCTTTATTGGAAATATTATTTATTTATCTATAGTTGCACCCATGCTTTGTTGATTGGTAACTTTTATTATTTCTTTAAAAAGTATTCATTTCCCATTTTAAACGTATATCTCATAAGGGGTGGTAAAAAGTTTTTTTTGCTAAAACGCTAACTGAGAAATCATAGAGGAAAGCATATTTTTACGTTAACACTGTCAATCCAAGTGTATTTTTAAATATCGACCGCCTTAGATTATTTGTAATTTAATTAAATGTATTAGTTGTTCATGAGCTTCTCTCCGATTGGTTTGTTTGACTACTTTCATAAAATATACAACTTGCACTGCCTGTCGAAATAAATTTGAATAAATGCTATAGTTTTTAAGTGGCCTGATTTTACAAGAAAAACAAAAAAAATTATTTATTTAAACATGTTCAGTAGATTTTATATTTAAGTTCATAACCACTTAGTCCAAAAACTACATTTAATCGGGTTCTATTTATTTTTCACTGCAAATCTGTATTTAATTACTACATGCATAACAACTATTAAACATATAACTTTGATGAAAAATTGAAATAAAAACTTGACTGCAAAAATGATATCTAATTCATATTAATTAACTTTTATGTACTGACCAAATTTGACCACATACAGTTCAAGATATTGCACATTTTTTAAAACTTTCTTATACCAAACACCACATTTTAATTTTTTTATTACTGACATTTTAAGAAAAAATTATTCTTCATAAAAATTTTTACTCCACTAAATCTGAATCATCTCTGAAACCCCTTCAATATAGAATTTACGTTAAATAAATAATTTTATAGATAGTCGAATATCAGTATGATGATGTAAACGGGACTATTTCGAACCCACGAGTTGCTGTAAATATAAGAAGTTTCACGAATCTTACTGGCAGCCCCGATGGAATGACTATAGATATAGACGACAATCTCTGGATCGCACTCTATGGAGGGGGAGCTATTATAAAAGCAGATCCAAAAACTGGCGAACTTTTACAAGTAAGTTCCACATATTCCGTTTAATTTGAATACTTTTAGGCTAGTCAAATCGGATTTATTAGACGGGTCACGTGGAAAAAAGTGGTGGAAGGCTAATTATTGATTTGATCGGTTCTGAAAGAAAAGTTTCCTAGGTTGGCACGGTTCCTTCCGTTCAGCTACAATAATTAAAAAATTATTTTTTTCAACAGAATGGAAATTATCTCGTAATTAATATCTCTCTATAGTACCTACCATTCTACCTATAAGCCTAGGAAACTTCCCTTTCACGTCAAATGAACCGACCAAATCAATCATTAGCTTTCCAGCACTTTTTTCCAAGTGACCCCTCTAATTTGATTGGCATATTTTAAATTTAGTGTAATCTGAAAGATTTCTGTTGAAAGGTATAATTTATTTTTCATTATAAATATAACTATATCTTCTAAGGGTAAAGTTGACTTCCTAAAAAGTTTCTGTTCACTGTGCAATTTATAGATTAGATTGTAAAAAATGTCTATACCTGTGTGGCGGATTCATCTATCCAAAAAAAATCCTTTATGGGTATTTCGCCACTGCACTGCAAGAAAAATCTACAAAATAAAATAGTTATTTTTTGTAAACACTTCTGCGTTAAACCTAAACGGACGCTGCTTGTCAGAAGTTGTGTTTATAGTAATAAAAATTTGCCTAACAAAGAAAAAAATGCTTAACGTTTCAGTGCAGTGGCAAAATACTCATAAAGGATTTTTTTTTGAATAGATAGATTAGATTATTTCACAAAAAAACTGAAGCTTGAGGGAATTACTTCTTAATATGCAGCGTCGAACCTACATAAAGTAAGAAAATCTAGGAACTAGTGGGGTTGCAGTCGGAAGGGTTTGACAAAGAATTAATACACTTTGTTAATTGTAAAGCTTTCGGAATTTATTCATTCCTTCCTCAGGACATTAACGTGGTACAAGAGACCTTCATAAAAAACTACATTAAAAAATTGGCTTATATTGAAAACTCCATAGCGAAGCATCGCTGACCAGTCGACCAGATAAAAAGCCATATTGAGACGCAATTGAATTTTTAATCGAACATCTCTTAAAGAGCCCTCTCAAAGAGCCCTCTCTTTTTGTAGTTGACTGATTCAATACAAGCCAATTTTTTAATGTAGTTTTTTTTATGAAGGTCTCTTGTAATGAGTGCTATTGAGTGCTCAATTCAAAAACAATAAAAAAACACGTAACTTATTTTTATTCAAGAAAATATCAAAAAACATCAGTTTAGTTTTTATAAATATATATATTTATAGTTACTTTAAACAGCCACTTGCTTTCATGTATGTATAAGTACTTATACCTACATCAGATTTTCACCTTCCACCAGATCATATAGTATATATGTTACGGTTAAGGTCCGATGTCCAGTTAATGTCGACATTACCCCCAGTTAATCTCGAGAATAACACACAACAAAACAACCAAACACATAACCTAACCCAAACATTAACCAAAATTCAAACGTCTGTCGACATTAACCGGACATCGGACTTTAACCGTAACATATATACGTATATGTCCTTATACATATATAAAATAAGCGTGCTTTTAGTATATCTTTAGTAGCTTCTAGTATATCATAGAGGGTGAGTTTTCTACAATGTCCTCTATGATATCTCTGAAACTATTGGAGCTAGAGAGTCGCTCAAATGGGGAAAGAATTACAGTTTTGTCAGGTCAAATATATACGCCATTTGGATTTTTGCAAAAGTTTATAGTTTACTGGATATTTCGAAAAAAATTTTTGGCTATTTTAAAAATGCTCCATAATTCCACTATAATCAATTTTAGACAAACAGTTTCAGATAAAAGTTATAGCTTCCAATCCTTAAGAAGATTTTGTTCTCTGTTTTTTAAGCCACTAATTTTTCACATACATATATGACATAAACATACGTTTTTTTTAATAGAAACCATTGTTGGCATTTTTAAGCTTTCCAGCGATATTAGCTATAATATGCTTTTTTTCCAAAAATTACTGAATTATAGTCAATTCTAATCTTCTTTGACCAACATCACTTAGTTGGCTTGCTACATGCTATTCTTATTCTATTGTGATTTATAACTTATAAAAAGACAGAATATTTTATTAAACGGTCCTTTACAATTTACATTAAGCAAATTAAAACCTAAAAAAATAATTTCACTACATACACTTTAAGTTACTTTAACAGATGTTCAAAAAATCCGCCATTGTTTCGAGTACATGTAGAATGTAGAATGTTTAGGAGGGGAATTAATCGCCGCGACCTTACCGATCTATTTTTTGTTCCCCTTTTTCGAGTTATAACGAGTTATAACTATCATACAGTCTCAGGGCTTTAAAAAAAGCCAGTATATGAGACGGCTCCACAGAAGCCAGCTCTATCCTCGACATCAGCCGTACCAAAGTTCACGGCACGATAAGGTGTTCTGGTGTTTCCATTTTCCTCACAGAATCTGCATTCGCCGTTGTTTCTCAGCTTCAGCCCATTGAGGCGTTCGTTGAGGCGACAGTGTCCTGTTGACAAACCCCGTGACAATCTGAAGATTGTTTTTAATTAAATCAAGGAAAATCTTTGATTTTTCTCGGTCGTAAGTTCTTTTGAGTACATAAAATGCATCTTTTTAAAACTGAATTACAAGATTTTCTTGGAGGAGGCCCATGTAATTGGTTCACCATTTCCTGTCCCTGCGAGTTTTGTAATATAAATTATTTATTACTGCTCGCACTACCGGTTTCGGAGCCCTACTGCATCATCAGATGAGCTTGGGCAGATCCACAAAATGACAACCACAGCGCAGAGATAGTTAATTCCGACTTGTTGGAATGTATCGGTTGGATATTAAGTCATGAACGGGAGATCTCGGCCTGCGTGCAATGGTAGTACTTTCGTACCACCGAGGCGCAACTATCGATAGTAGAAGGAACGGGGTGAAAAGCTTTTTTTCAGGCAAGCCAAATTATAAAATAGAAAACAAATTTCTTGCAGTATAGGTATATAATAAAATTATATAAGGATTTTTGCCACTTAACTACTGATATAGAAATTTAATTCTATGCTGTGTTTGTCATAATGTGGATCAACCTGCTCTCACTACCGGTTTGGGAGCCCTACTGCATCATCAGGTGAGCTTGGGCAGATACACAAAATGACAACCACAGTGCAGAGATAGTTAATTCCGACTTGTCGGAAAGTATCGGTTTGATATTAAGTCCCGAACGGGAGATCTCGGCCTGCGTGCAATGGTAGTTAAGTAGTTAAATGGGAAAAATCCTTATATAATTTTATTATATATACCTATACTGCAAGAAATTAGTTTTCTATTTTATAAGTTGGCTTGCCGGAAAAATAGCCTTTTACCATCCTTTTAGAGATATAGAAAACGTATTCTTGCACATAAATATACAGTTCATATTTTCATTGTAACATTCTTTTAAATTTGGTAGGTAATAATTCAGTATTAAAACTAAAACAAAATTTGGACTTCCATTACCTTTATTTATTTTACTTATACAATGTTTTGGTCAGATTATATCACTGATTGTTATCCAGTGTAACAGTTTACACTCGATACCAGTCAGTGATACATCTGAACGAACCGTTGTGTAAAAAAAATAAAGAGAATGGTCCGAAATTCTTTTAGTTTTATTTTATTTTGTGTTCATTTTGAAAATACCTAAAGACCTAGTTCTAACTAAAATTTATATATTTTCAGGTCGTAGCTTTACCAGCTCGAGATGTAACATCAGCTATATGGGGTGGGCCAGATCTCGATATTCTCTATGTAACAACGTCTAGAGTTTCGTTAACATCAGATGAGAAAAAGTATTATCCAGAAGCAGGAAGTGTATTTGCTGTAACTAATTTGTTTACAAAAGGACGTCCAGTCTTTAATGCTAACATAGTAGATAATATATAACAAATATTTTTTAAGTATTTTATTAATAAATCTTAAAACATCAAAAATATTTTCATCATTAAAAAAAATATTATATCAGAATCTACATAACGCTATTATTAGATAAAAATATAATGTTTCGAGATATGGAGCTGTTACTATTTTTCCTAGTTAATATGGAAGAGTAGTATAGATATATACTGGGTGAGTCTTAAATAAGTGCAATATATTTTTAGAGTTGTTATATTTTTACCCCAGAAACACGTGTTTAAGGTTTTTATTCGCAAAGGGGCAGAGGGTGTAGACGAACAGGCGGACAGATGGACAGACGTATAGACGAACAGACTGACAGACAGAGGAACGATCGACGGACGTGGGGATCGACGGACGTGGGGAGCAACGGACGACCGGAAAGACGGATAGATGCACAGAGGGAGAGCCGGGCGGACCGTCGCGAGTCGTGCCGACGTACGGAAGGGCGGACGGGCGGTTAGGTTAGGTTAGGTTGGGCGGATAGACATATAGACAGAGGGACAGACGGTCAGATGGACAGGGGGACAGACCGACAGAGGGAGAGAGAAAGAAGGGACAGATGTATTACTAACAGACAGAGGTTGTATATACTGACAGACAGGGGAGCGATTGACGGACGGACGGCTGGAAAGACGGATAGACGCAAAGAGGGAGAGACAGGCGGACCGTCGTGCGGACGAACGGAAAGGCGGGCGGGCGGATAGTCAGATGGACAGGGGGACATCTGACGGGCAGAGGGACAGATGGACAGGGGGACAGACCGACAGAGGGAGAGAGAAAGAAGGGACAGAGGGCGGACGGACAGGTGAACAGAGGGACTGACGGACAGAGGGACTGACGGACAGAGGAACAGACGGACAGACAGAGACAGACGGACGGATGAGCAGACGGACAGGCGGACAGACGTACAGAGAGATGTACAGACTGACCGACGAATAGAACACATATGCGCACATATTGCACACACAATTTTTTAAAACACAATTTTCATTTCTGAAGAATTTATATTGTGAACAAGTATTCAGAATAATAATTTTATTAAACTTTTAAATTAAATCTAGAAATAATTTTATTTCAAAATATTTTCTCATTTTTATGATTATATGCAATTTGCTTTCAATCTGTGGATTGTTTCTCCGTCAAATTTAAATTTCTACTAATTGCTTTAAAAATGGAATCTAAACCGTTTATTAATCAATATTTTGATTTACAGGATAAAGATTATTTTATATATTTTAGATGTAACTCGATTTTCAAAAAAAAATATATGTATGTATGTCAGTAGTTAAAGAATTTTGTTTCAAAAATAAGGTGTAGATATTATCTAGTTAACTCTAAATTATTGATTGTCATTACCATGACAGTCACGAGTGAAAATTTTTTTATATTTCAGTAGTAAAGAGAGAAGGTTTAGGACACCCCAGTATCATAAATTTATTTAAAATTATTTTGTTTTTTCCCCGATGAAATGATATGGTGATGTAGAAGCGGAGGTGCGAGAACGGACAACGAAGGCAACCAGAATAGCAGGATGCCTGAATGATACAATATGGCGAAATAAAAACATTGTGGTGGAGACTAAAGCGAGAATTTACAAGGCAACGGTACTACCAATAATGACATACACTGCAGAAACTCGACCTGATACAGCGAAAACTAAACAACTACTAGAAACAACCGAAATGAGAGTACTACGCAGAATAGCTGGAAAGACGCTTCTGGACAGGGAGAGAAATGAAAGCATAAGAAGAGCGTGCAAGGTGGAAAATGTAAATGAGTGGGTACTCAGCAGAAAGGAAGAATGGAACGACCATATCAGCAGAATGGACAACAGAAGGATAGTGAGAGTTGAGAGTTGCACGCGACAAATCACCGCTAGGTCGCAGAAGCTTAGGACGTCCACGAAAACGATGGAGCGACAACTTGTCAATCTAACCAGTAGGGACGACGAAACCAAACAGGCGATTCGCCTAGTATGAAGAAGGAAGAAGAAGAAGAAGAAATGATCTTCGATTTTGCAGTATAAATATATCATATTTAACATTAGAAAACTAAGAGATATACATTAAATTTAAATTACTTTTACTATCGTTATGTAAATGTTTAATTTTTATATAATACGTCGTTAAAAATCCATTAGCATGATTTATGTTGGCCTGCAAAAGTTTAAATTATCTCTTCCTATTAATCCTTATAAAATGTTTTATGAAACTTAAATAAAAATACTTTTAATGAACTTTGAGCTTGCAATTTTAATATTGTTAATTTGGAATAGTCTTTCTAAATTTAGGACAAAATTTTAGGGTGTCGTTTAGACAATGATTTTTCTCGTCAAATTTTAAAATTGTAGCTTTCGTAGTCTTCCAACGATCCCATCACTCCCAATTTCTAAAAATCTAATCGAATGGACGTTGATTGAAAGAATCGAGAAGAAATGGGCGAATTCGTAACAAAGCTGATTTGATTTCCCCTTACGTCTCAAGCAAGGGCGGATCCAGGATTCTGGAAAGGGGCGGGGAGCTTGACTCAAAACTTTGCTCAAAGTACATACTCTAGAGTCGTTTGTGATAAAATAAATTAATGATAAATAATATTAATGCATAGTATATAATAATTAGTAATATAGTATACAATTATATATAATATATAATAACATAGTATTAGTTGACTGCACTCAAGGTGGGAGCTTGAGCCCTCGACGCCCCCCATGTGTGTTAAATAATATTATAGTGGAGTTTTGATAGAATTTTACTGGCATTTTTTTGTTGCCTAAATCAGATTAAAAGGGTATTGTTTTTGTAATAATTGTTTTTTTTTGTAATAATATTTTTTTAGAGATAATACAGTTTTGAACGGGATGTGCGATTTCACAATGTTCATATATTAAGACTTTGATGCACTAGCGTCTACGTCCCACTAGTCTTGCATGGGCACCCAACAAAGTTACCATTTGTTTGGTTGTAATTTTGGTGTCCCTTAATTTCATGATTTTCAATTGTTAGCTAAACTAAAGACGTTTAATTTTACGGTTTATTTCAAAGTTTGATTGTTATTTGGTTTATTTTGTTAGAACGTTCTTAATAGCACAGATTAGGTATACTTTTATTAAGAGTAATCAGAATGCTAAATAAAGCAGAAATAAGTAAGTGCATCGGAAACATGTTAAAAAAATCATCCTAACCAAATATAGGAAAATGCATCTTTACTTAGACTAACTACGCAAAACTAAAATATTGCATTTTCCTGCGAATTCTGTATCAAAAATTCTAGTGAAGAGAGTTTAACAAGGCATTTCAAATCACATGCACAAGTGGCACAAGATAATTGACCACATTATCACAGAAGTAAGGCAGAGTCAAGTGTAAAAGGTCGGTCCACATTATCATACACGTATCCTTTCCGTTCCAGCAACCGTACTGTGCATTCACATATGCACACACGAAACGTTTCAATTTGCTTTAGTAATGTTAGAGATAACTAAGTTGTCTCTAGTAAAGTGATGTTTTTATACTATTGTGTGTATATTATAGATAATTTTGTAGCAAAGTTTTAGTGTAATAATTGTGTTTGTTAATTATTTTTAAAAGAACGAAATGAAATTAAAGGAAGGCGAATAATCAAATTTAATATTAATGTAGTAACATAAAAAATACATCTGTAAATATAACATTTCAAATTTTACAATACAAGCGACCAATTTGAAGCACTCCTCTAGATACACTGCATGCTAGGAATAAAATATTAAATATTTAACCAAATATCCCTGCGGAAAACGATTCCGTATCGTCATTGAAAGCAACAACGCTACAAACAGAAGCTGCTTTCCGTTTGTAACCTATAATAGTGAAACAGCTCTACGATTTATTCGGTAAACAGCACGTGAAAATAGAATAGATATAAAAACATTTTCTAGAGTGATATTCCAAAAAAGATCATTTTTACATCTGATATATTATAAAAAAATTACTGGCGCAATAAAAGTATAGGTTAATTGCATCTTTATTATGATATATTAATACTAAAAGTTTCATGAAAGACGAAATCCACCTTTTTTGCCTGGTAGGTATCATACTACACCGGACATGCTTATTCTACTGCTGAAAATGTAGGTACCTTTCCTGGCATTGGTTAATTGCTGGGTTGCTGCATTATTATTCTCTTCTGTATCAAGCTGTAGTTTTTACGGTTCTGAGTTATATACCCTGCGAGTTTGAACACAATATTGCTCCCACTAGGTGTATATGTTCTTTATGTAATATATGACTGCCCGATTGAGAATTAGGGATAACGCTGGAATACTTTACTAGTTTTATTTATAGTAACATCAATGTGTGCATGTCCTTTAAATGAACAGGACATATTTAGGTTTAAGAAAGCTGAAGAAGGTCCGTTTGGGCAGTTATAGCACAGTCGTTAGCATAATTATATAGTTTTAAGTGTCTAGTGGTATAGGCTGGTCATTGGTAATTATGTATACCGAAATAAATATAAGATAGGACTAGTTATCTTAATAAGATAATAAGCTCAGAATTGGAGGAACTTAAAAAATTAATTGAAAAAACTATAGAAAATATGAACAAAAATAGACGACCCAAACCAGCTGACAGAAAGACAAGAAGAAAAAGAGAACATTCAGAAGATATTTCTAGAAAATAGAGATAGCATTTTAGAAGTAATCTATCAGAAAGGAGGTTAGAGGTAATCGGTGGCTATACAAAAAGCTTTCATAAAAAATATTTATTTTAGAAACTTTCAATCATACAGGCCAATATTTGATAAACATTGCAAGTTGTCGGACGATGTCCAACATAATTATAAGAACAAACGACTTACCTGTAGGAAGTTCGTTCTGAATTATATGAGTATCCTCGTCCAAATAGATATACACCCGTAGTATCATTATCATACTTTATCGAGCACATTTTATTCCCAATTACGTAAAGAATGCATTTTTTGTTAGCCATAGGCCTTAGTCATCCGTACCCGACCGTCAGCCT